TCACTCGCGTTCTCCCGCGCTTTAGGCTAATTTTCTGTGAGTTCTCATCTATCCTGTTGTTGATTTGGCCTTGGTTGTTTTACAAAAATTAATAGCGAAGAGTGCTCTACGACAAGATCAATAATAACTATAGCTAAAACTACAACCTCAAAAGCGCAGGAATCACAAATAAGTAAATTCTTTAACATAACTCAATGAAAACATTAAATTTCTCTTTGCTTTTTCAACCGCAGCTTTCTAATAGCGAGACCGTAAGTGACCTTTTGCCAGGGACGATTTACAAAGTTCAGGTGGGTGGAAATTCTACTTAAAAATGTGTCTGTCACTGCACAAGTATAATCAGTGGGAAAGGAATGTTAGGGGGCAAAATCCTAAAATCGTAAAATCCTCATATTTTGAATTATATAATTTGGCAATTAGCAGTCTGATCGAATCAAATATGTTACACGAACTAATGGTTTTACGCTATTGAGGAGGGTTTCCTGATCATCTCTGATTAGTGAATAACAGTTAGTATTTCAAGACAAAGCTATTTCATTAATTCTCGGTGCCTTTCCTCCACAGGTCTCTCCAGTGTTTCAAGATAGAAGGCCTTCGTCAGATTTTAGCGATGCAACTTTTACCACTCCGGGTGAGTGATGAAAAAATGAAATAACTTGTATAAGAAGTGGGAAGGTAAAGGCACGGGAGATTTTGAAAAGCTGCTGCCCATAAAATATAAACATAAACTCAATTGCATTAACGTTGTCATAGAAACAAGCAAAAAGTAAAAAGGTAAAGGGTAAATTTAATAGGCACAAAGCATAACAAGAAAATTTTAACTCTTGAGCAGAAGCATATGGCTCTAGCATATATACTTTTTCCCCCTAATTTTTCGAATCACTTGAAATCGATAAACACCCTATTTTCACAAGAGGTTTAATTTTCTTTTTTTTTTGTGAAAATTGTTCAGCCACCGGGCATATCGCCATAGGGCAGTTTTATGTGCAAATCAATTCCTGTTTTTTTTTTCCTATTTTTTATTTTAATTGTTGCAGTTTGGTGTAGTTCAACTTAATGTTGTATTCTTTTTTTAACGCTTTCACATACGATAAATAGAGAGCAGCTATTCAGTAATTCCATCGAAACATCCGCAAATTGTATTTCTTTACATCATGTTCATTTAGGAAATCGATAATTTTGACCACTGTTTTGACGAATATCGTCGTCGATAAGACTACGTACTACACCAAACCATTCTTTGTTTTTTTTTTTTACCACAGTACCGACGTCAAGTAAAACGATTCTTTCAGTGCGTGACCATTGCGTTGACGCTAGCAGCGTTGTCTGTTCCTTTTCTGTACGGCAAATTGACCAATCAGACCGCGACATTACTGCTCTGCATCCCAGGCCCCCCATCCCCCATTACCGCGTAAAATGAAAAATGGGCGGAAGTTTTAAGTTGCCTATTGCCGATTCTCGCGGTTTGTTCGAAGACACTTTTTACCATCCAGGATGATTGAATATTTTTTACTTAACACTGATTTTGTGGTTTCTTTTTAAAAAGCAGAATTTTGATTTTTTACTATCCTTCAAGTCACACTGACTGAAGCTATCCGATCTTTCATAGATGGACATTAAATTTAAAAATGATGGTAAAAACACTACAAAAAATTCCAATGATGGCATGTTCATGGATTCAATAACTTGCGCTGGACTTGATGCGAATGACGTCCTAAGAGTCAATCCATATTTCACACTGACGTTTCAAATTGAAATTTCATAGTGATTGACCAGCCAACTTTTATTAGAATTACGTTGTGTTTGCCAAAGTCCTAATGCGGTAATCTTGGATCTTGTTTTCAATATCACTTTTATTAAAATGAATAAAAAGAGGATCCCTTGTTAAAAAATTGCCAACACCGTAAAATGTCTGTGACAATGTCAATCGAAAATTTGTCAATCTATTTAAAATGAATTTTTCATCTCGAAACATTGCCCGTTAAAAAAAATTTAAATGGTTTCATATTCCGTAGAGTGGTATCTTTTTTTTTTTTTATTTGCAAAAACGCAATAGTTATATGTTACAGTTATAATAATAATTTCGTTTCTTTTTCCTTTTTTGAATTTAAAGGGCTCCCATATTCCGTGGAGCGGTATACCTTTTAATGGTAAAAAATGCAAGAGTTATATGCTACGTTTCTTACTAGTTTCTTATCGATAAAGCATGACTCGACCTAACATCGTCAAACAAGTGACAATAACAATATCTTTCTCCTTGCTGTTATACTAGGCATTGATCCAAACGAAGTCAAAGTAACCCATTTGACCGCTGGCCAATTCGCCGAGTCTTCAGACGGTGGCAGTTTAAGTGTTCTTATATCATGGGAAAAGCCTATTTTTAACTACAGCACGCTTGCTTTGTATACATTTCGATACAAGGTCGGTAACAAAAATGGCAAAGAGGAACTGATGGTAAGAAACTGTGTATTGAAAACTTTAAGACTATATAAATATATGGTTAAATTAGCGTCATAATATCGACTGTTAGCATGAAAAACCAATGCTATAAAGAGGCGAAAGAATGCATCACATACACGAAAGATCACTTAATACCATCAAAAGACTGACCCAGACAGATTGGTGTTGAAGCCATTGCAAAGACACTTTTATACTGCTATAAGTCAGACCACACCAAAGAACGTTTTTTCCTAATACGGCCTATTACTTTTCCCGAAAAACTTTACGCAAATACATGCGAGACCCCTTTACTTATGATTTCAAATCGTCGACCAAAGAATTCTTTTAGCCTTTGATAAGATTTTTTTTAATTACTTTAACTTTATTGATGGATTCGGCAACAGGAGCATTCTCCAATTAATCGGGGATTTTTCAGTTTCCGGAACAAAAATTTCTGTACATCGACTCTTTCACAGATTTCTAAACGAACGTTGCTATGAATAGTCAACAGAAATTGTCGTTTCTTTGCCTGGCAAAGGACTAATCATAGCAATTTTCTCTCTCGTTTTTAATTTGGATGTTTTGAATGATATATTTTGGTTGTTGTGGATACTAGTGCTTTCTCTGAAGTAACTGAATGTAATGTAATGGTCTCTGACTCTGAACTCTGGAAAACTTTTCCAGATA